TGTGGGAGAAGTAATTTGGCGTGTGTGAATATAATCTCCCTTGTTTATATTGACGATGTTCTCATTTATTCCAAATCGATACATAAGCTTTGGAAACACTTAAATATGTTTGTTAGGATAATTAAGTCAAATGGATTAGTTGTCTCAACAACCAAAATTAAGTTATTCCAGACCAAAAATCGGTTTTTAGGATACAAATCCACCAGTCAACCATTCAGCCAATAGATAGAGTAATTCAGTTTGCAGATAAATTCCCAGATAAAATTACAGACAAAACCCAATTATAGAGATTTCTAGGATCTTTAAATTATATTATAGAATCTTATCCACATCTTAGGCAACAATGCAAACCTTTGTTCGATCGTCTAAAAGAAAATCCCTCATCATGGTCTAATACTCATACTTCCATAGTCAAACATATAAAGTCACATGTTAAAACCTTGCCCTGTTTTGGCATTACAACTCCTAATTCATTCAAAATCGTTGAAACTGATGCCTCTGAAATTGGTTACGGGGTTATTCTCAAACAGTCAATTTCTTCCGTATCTCCTGAACAAATTGTTCGTTTCCATTCAGGAGTATATAATCTAGCACAAAGTAATTATAGAACTATTAAGAAAGAAATATTATCTATAGTATTATGTATTAGTAGATTTCAAGATGATTTATTAGATCAAAAGTTTTTAGTCAGAGTCAATTGCAAATCTGCAAAACATGTTTTACAAAAACATGTTCAAAACATTGCATCAAAACAGATTTTCGCACAATGGCAAGCTATATTAAGTATTTTTTATTTTGAAATCGAATACATCAAAGGAAGTCAAAATTGCATCCCTGATTTTCTAACCAAAGAATTTATGCAGAGGAAGAATGACAGCAAGAAGGCCTGACCAGAGAAGGCTTCCAGCCACTATACCATCACCACCAGTAAAACAAGAATCATGACCAGAGAAGGCCTTAGCCATTACCAACTGTTTCACTCCCTTAGGTTCCACAATAGGAAACCTTAGGCCAAATTACCAGTCATCACGTCCCAATTACCAAATGGCATTAGTCAGTCAATATGATCCTTATTCAACTCCTACATACCAATCACCATCATCCCAACTAGTCAGTTATACTAAAACATCACCGTATGTCAAGAAAAATCCCAGTGAATACGTTTTTAACATCCCTTTCAATCTCAATTAGGAACAAGCACCAGAAAAATTAGCCAAAACCATCTTTCCACCTAATTTCTGTTATCACCCTACAGCACCACACAAAACATTGAAATATTATCAAGCCATTCCCAGCGAAACATAGTCCATCTCTGTCAAACCACTTTATAGTAAAACCCATGAAAACAAATTTTTTTACCATTCTCTTTACATTGGCTGGTTCTTAACTGAAACAGATTAGGGAATCCCCTTTACAAAAGCAAACCATTTCACACTCAATATGTCCAAATACTCAATACCCAATAACCATTATAATTATTTTGATTACATCGATGCTTAGACTAACATCTTTCTCCATCAGATAGAAGATTTTAATCATTCATGGTTCATCAATTTCGACAAAAGTTTCAAGTTAAATTTTCCAGCATGATTCCCAAAATGGTGGTCAATTCATGGGCCAACAGCCAGTTTACTGCCAGATGAGCTTATACAGGTTCTCTCAACCAGTTTCAACAAAAAATTGATAGAAGCAGGTTCAATTACAGAATTACAAATCTCCCATTATTCATGGCCAAATACAAAGTCCTGTGGATCTTGAAGTGGAATTATGAAGTTGAAATCGGTGAAGTCAACAGAGTCAGATCAGTCAAGTGGGGGGATAAATTCAACCATCAGAGGGTTATCAGTCTGGTTCTCTCTGAATTTCCCATTACTCTTCCTCCAATCATCCCATCGCAGCCAGTAATGCCAGCCATTCTGGCTCAATCATTATTGAACATTAGTCTATCCTCATCCCTTAAAGGAACAATCAAGTCTCCCAAATCATCAGGCTTAAGGAAGAATAAAGTCATTTAGCTCCAAGATTTAGCACAACAATTACTTGCAGAGCAGCGATGCTCCACACTGAAGAAGAAAAAGCTTTAGACTCCGAATCTTCAGATGCATCCTCATAACAACTAGCCAATTCAATAAGTCAAAAAACACAGTCAGTCAAGTGGATCGACTACCAGGATTCACCATGTGAACACAATTAATTACCATGTGAAAACTCAGTCATCATGTGAACTCTATGACAATTGCCATGTGAATATTCAATCATCTTTCCAAAACACCATGTGAAGCGTTCAGACAATATTCGCATCAATAATTCCGACAAAGCATGGAATCATTCAGTCATCCGCACATTCCACAGTAAAAGCAATAATAATTCCAACAAGTTCACTATTCATCAACAGTAAAAGCATGTCATCATCCATCTTGTACTTCAACAGTAAAAGCAATCAATCATCCAAGTTTATAAGAAAAGGACTCAAAGGAAGGACACATCAAGTTAATTTCTATATCTTTTCTCAATCAAAATTTCATTGGGTTACACTGTATTCAAAGAAAACCAAATTGTAAACAATTTAAATTCTCAATTGTCAAGGTTGCCTGCATCCAATATCCTTTTCACTAGTCAATTTCTTATTTGCTGACTCGATCGTCATTATATTAATTGTAAGTCCCAATGTAAGTTTTGCAATAAAACTTATTTTCAAATTATAATTGCATCATTATTTTGAATTCATTATTTTCATTATGAATATTTTCAGAACTACTAATTTTGAATGACATAAAATTCTTACTCACAGTCAATTCATCGAATATCTCAAATTCAAGGTAAACACAGATGAATCCTTCATTTTGTTTTTCTTATTCATTTATAATAGTTGGTGTTGATGCACAAAACCGGAGGGGTCTTGGAACAATGTAAATCCGACCGTGAATATGCAAGAAAGTAAATAACACAAGATGTATTGTGGTTCACCCCAAGGTTTGGGCTACGTCCACATTAATATTGTATTCCTGAGGGAGAGAGAGCTCTGAATATAAGAGTGAGAGCTTTGAGAGGATGAGAGGGCTTTTCCCATGGCCTAAGAATTTGCCTCCCCAAATGAGGAGGGTGAGGAGTCCTTTTATAGAATAAGGGCTCATCACTTATTACATATTTGCCCCTTCATTTATTACATAATTACATTTGAGTCATCTGTGTATTTATACAAGATCTAAATATGGAGGCCCTAAGTATGGTGCAAACAGTAGTCGCCCAAGTCTTCAGTCAAAAGAGTCTTTTGGCTGGAGACTTGAAATTCAATCCATGTGTGGGCTGAAGTAACTAGATGTTGTCTAGAACTGATACTCGATATGAGGCGGTGCCCAATCTGAAATGATGCTCAACCAGAAGTAGCACATGTTGCGAGGCTGCTCTGCTTGTGACTTATGTTGCCTTGGTTGGCTCGGCTTGTGTTGTTGAAGGTGAGGGAGTCCCTTTTATAGATTAAGGGCTCGCTCCTCAATACATAAATGATGGGCTAAGAGTTGATGCTCGCGGCAAGGCGGTTGCTTAGTAGGCGGCGATATTTTCTAATGATGGTGATGGAGTCCCTTTTATAAAATAAGGGCTTGCTTCTCAGTACATGAATATTGGGTTAGGAGTGATGCTCACGTTAAGGCGGTTGCTTAGCTGGCGGTGATGCTTTCTAATGAAGGTGAGGGAGTCCTTTTTATAAAATAAGGGCTCGTTCCTCAGTACATGAATAATGGGCTAAGTCTCCCAAGTATTTTTTATGAGGCCCAATATATGGTATATAGTGTAGTCCCCCAAGTCTTCAGTCAATAAAGGCTGTTGGCTGGAGACTTCAAATTCAATTCATGTATGGGCCGAAGTGGCGGTTGTTCGGAGGCGGTATTCGTATACCCTGCACTGAAGCTTTGTAGGTGAAGCTTTGTAAGTGAAGCTTTGAAGCTAGAGCTCTGTAAATGAAGCTTTTGAAGCTAGAGCTCTGTAAATGAAGCTTTTGAAGCTAGATTAACATGAGTGATGCTCATGGATATTGACATGACTGATGCTCATGAATGTTGACATGAGTGATGCTCATGAATGTTGACATGAATGATGGTCATGAATGTTTATGTATGATTGTCATGAGTGATGCTCATGAATGTTTATGTATGAATGACATGAGTGATGCTCATGTATAATTTTGGAGTAATGGACGTACTTTTGATCACCTAGTGGTTGATAATAGCGGCAGGTTGCTGAATAATTTTGGAGTACTGGGTGTACTTTTGATCACCTGGTTGGTGATAATAGCGGCAGGTTGCCGAATAATTTTGGAGTACTAGACGTACTTTTGATCACCTAGTTGGGGTTATACAGATATCTCCGAAAGATAAGAAAAGTAAATTATATCATTAAAAAAAGCTATTGTAGATATGGTTGGATAGTGGGATAGCATGTGCAGCTATTGGAGGAAAACTTCACGTGAAGGCAGGTTTGGTCAGCAGGCATGGTCTCTCATACTTTGATACTTTTGCATGTTCTCCGAATGGGTTTTTCAAAATGGGAATATGCATGATGAAAGGTTAGTATACTTATCCAAGTGCTTTCCTCTTTCCTCTTTTTCCTTTATTCCACTTTTTCTTTCCTTTTTTCCACCCCACCTCTCTCACTTAGTCTATTTTTTCTTTTCCACCTACATACATCTTCACCTACACAGACTTGCTTTTGCGTTTGTTCTTTTCACTTTCTGCTTTCTGCAATTATCTCCGACCCAGAAGTTAATGCAAAGAACAGAATCCTAACTCAGCACCAAGCATGTAAGCTTGAACAGCAGAGTGGCCAAAAGGGTCAATCTACCAGCCGATTTGAGGAACAACTTCTTTGATGAAAACAGAGGAAGCTGCACCCTTCCACTTAGGATTCGAATCCGGAAATATCTGCCCGATATTCGGAAGCCCCAATGCCCCCAATATCGCATCCACCACACAGTGAAGCAACACATCTCCATCGGAATACACCTAGCAGCCTTTATTGTGGGGTATATCGATGTCGTCGATTATCAGAGGGTACCCAGGCTCTAGCCGGTGCAGGTCGAACTCGTGCCCGACCCAAAAAGGCAAGAGCTTGGACGGAGTGACAGGAGTTGGGACCTGGGCGACCTCGAAGGTCGTGCTCGCGGAGGCGTAAAATACAGGTCTGCGCGTCGTTTTCGGGGTTCGGAGAGACATAGGAGTCAAGGATGGTTGAAGACTGTAGGGGTTTAGGGCGGGGAGGTGAGAGCAAGGAAGAGAGCGGATGAGTGGCTTGGTGGTTGTGGCGGTGGTGATTGAAGAGGCGCACGCTGAAGTAGCTGCCATGGCCATAGCTTAAGGTTTAGAGCTTTCATGGTTTGAATTCACGGACGAGCTGGTCTATGGTGAACCAGGTCAGTCGGCGGACAAGGTCGGTGATCTCCACTGTCCAGTCCTGCCAAGTAGCCTTGTGGGCGACGTCGTGGTTGCGGACGTAATGGAGTGGGATCGGGGTGATGAATCCGTGGTGCATGAGGCGGGTGGGTGGCGGTTCGCAGTTGAAGGGATGTTTTCCAATGAGGCCGAGCATTGAAGAGTTACGACACACCCAGTTGTCTGACGTGGCTTCATCTCTAGGGTCCAAGATCGACAGCTCTAATTTGTTGTTGCCTGTCAGATTAAATCTGTGTATTCCTGGATGACGCTGTGGTCATTTTCATCGTTGGATGACTCTGTTTATCGGCGGGTTGAGCTGGGGGAATTGGCGATTCTCAACGGAGGCCATCATATCTCAGCCGTGTGTCGGGCACATTTTGTGTGTGTGGAGTGCGAAAAAGGGAGGACTTTTTTTTCTTTTGGGATATTTGTGTTTGTGGGATTTTGTTTTCGGCAGATTCACAATGGAGTGTATGAAAAATTAAGAAAGAACCGACATAGCTTTTCGTGTCGATTCCCACAGACGGCGCCAAATGTTGATGCACAAAACCGGAGAGGTCTTGGAACAACGTAAATCCGACCGTGAATCTGCAAGAAAGTAATGAACACAAGATGTATCGTGGTTCACCCCAAGGTTTGGGCTACGTCCACACTGATATTGTATTTCTAAGGGAGAGAGAGCTCTAAATATGAGAGTGAGAACTTTGAAAGGATGAGAGGGCTTTTCCCATGGCCTAAGAATTGGCCTCCCCAAATGAGGAGGTTAGGAGTCCTTTTATAGAATAAGGGCTCCTCACTTATTACATATTTGTCCCTTCATTTATTACATAATTACATTTGAGTCTTCCGAGTATTTATACGAGATCTAAATACGGAGGCCCTAAATATAGTACAAACAGTTGGTTTCATGGTTTATTCAATCCTAGCTATCCACCAAATCAAATATCTAGTTCATCTAATTCACATGATTTGCATCATTATTGCCCTCATCATTACCATTAGTTCTGCCTCATCATTTGGTGTGTGTGTGTGTATATGTCTCACACGGATCCTTTTTTTTTTTTTTTGTACAAATCTCTTGCATATCTTTAATTGTATAACTATTTCACATTTACTGTGAAATATATGAACGTAACATCACTAAGTACAAATGAGAGGGCTTTCAACATTCTATAGTCTTTGGCCATGTTATCGCATGTAATCACTTGAAGAACCCAACAATGCTGCCTTTTTTACGTAGTTAAAATCAATTTTGTTCATATAGCATTGGAAGCCAGCATCAATTGTATCTATGTTCTACACACGAAGAAGCGGTCACTCGCACACAAACACATGCAAGCTATTGGGGAACAAAAGTGTAATAAATAGTATAATTTATTACCAAATTTATTAATCATAAGCCCTAAAAGAGATGGTTAGGCAAAGTGTACTTCTCTGTCATATCTCTGATTGTGACATGTCCTTGTTGTTTATCACTTTATTTTTTATGATTTTCAATTCCTAAATGAAGTTTGAGATGTATGGTTTGGCCAAAGCTTCATAACGCTCATGAACACCTATTTTGTTCCTTATTGTAAAATAGATTTGCATATGTATGTAAATTGTATTTCCTATTATATATATTTAGAACTTTCTACATATTTTATACGGTTTTGAAACCCGCAACAACACACAGGCACCCTTACTAGTAAAGACCAATGAGTAGTAGATTTTTTCTAGAGTTTTTATCACAAATGGTCCTTGAATTTAACCTAGCCAATCAAGATGGTCCTTAAAATTGAAAATAGATCAATATGTTGTCCCTAAAAATGGGTAGTGCAAATCAATGTTGTCATTTCGTTTGAATTCCGTTAAAAATCTGTTAGTGTGTTGACGTGGCAGTCCATTATAGATGATGACAGTGCAGAAACATGGCATTGTGGGACCTACATATTTGATGATGTGGGAAATAAAAATAGTTAAATATTAAATATCAATTTTAAATAATAAAAATAAATCGGCTCCACCCACCTTCTTCAGGGACCTAAACACAAAGTTAGGCAACGGTGGTTTCTGGGGTTAGGGTTCAGAGAATGACGGTTTTTGGGTTTGGGGTCTCCTCCACTTTCCCAAATCTGAATTTTTTTTCTTTCTAGATTTTAAATTTGGGGTTTCCAAATTTTTATTGGAGGTTTCTTGTTTCCTTTGAAGAATGGAATCAGATATCATTGAAAGTCTTGTGTCTTTGGATTTGATTGACGATGATGAGATCCGTGGTTGTCTGATTCACCAGTTTGTTTCATTTCCCTCGGAGGTTATGGCCAAAGTTTTAAAGACCCAAACTTTTCAAGCATCCCCAATCTTAAAAATCATCATTTTTGTAATGGGTTGATGTGTTTTTCCAAGCCTTATACTCTTTCGCCACTCACAGACTAGGAAGCAGGAAGGAAGGGGGTGAGATGGACAGAGTGGGAAAGAAAGGTGAGGACCGATAGGTTGGTAAGGGTGGGCTTAGGGGTGGGCACGGGCCGGGTCAGGCCCAAGTTTGGAAGGACCGGACCGGACCCGTTTTAAAATACACTGGGCGGGCCGAGCCGGGTAGAAGGATTCTAAGATTTGGAACCGGAACTAACCTGACCTATTTCAAACGGGCCAGTTCGAGACGGGTCCACGGTCCAACTCAAGGGACATCTCTGTTTCTTCTGCAAATCCACTAAAAATCCACCTTGTTTCTTCCTCCCAATTCCGAGAGACCACCTTTTCTCCAACAATAAAAATTTATCAAAGCCCACATTTTCTCTTCCTTTAAATGCAGCAATTGTATGCTTTACAAATCCATACCCATTCAAGGTGTCTTTATGGATGTTAACTATCAAGATCATAATTGATATTTGAAGATGAAACTCGTAAATTAGCCTATAAGACCAAACATAAAAATAAAGAATATAGCACCTAGACCTGGGCGTCATATTGATCTCCAACAACCAAACAATTGTCGATTGCAGCAGAAGTGCTTCCCCAGTCCTTGTTCAGCTTCAGTTCCATTGAAACTTAAGATGCACGATGCCGACGTTAGCCATGGGAGTCCATTTCAGTCTTGGATCGTGACGACGGCTCAGTCGTGGTGGTCGTGACGACGACGATAGTCTCGGTGACTTCTGTGGGAGTGGTTTCATCGAGGAGGAGAAGAGTGGATGGGAGGGAATCTCGATGCGAGTAGGTGGGAGTGGGATGGTGAGAGTCTTCTGGAGTCCAACTAAGTTACTAACTACCATTTAATGGGCTGGGTCTCGGGGAGAGTTACAAACAGGCCTTCCGGGGCCCAATTTTTCTATACATTTAGAACCGGCCCGCCCCTAAAATTTCATCGCCCCGCCCTGCCCCGCCCCGCCCCACCCCGCCCCGTTTCTCTTATTAAAAAATTGGAACCGGCCCGTACCCACCCCGAACCTTGATTACCCGCCCCACCCCGCCCCGTTTCTCTTATTAAAAAATTGGAACCGGCCCGTACCCGCCCCAACCCGCGGTTCCTATACCCGTTTGCCCACCCCTAGGTGGGCTCACAATATTTTTTTTTTTGCCAACAAAACATTTTAATTTTTAAATATTTGGTAAGGATGGGATCCTTACGTGTCAGCATACTAACAGATTTTTAACGGAATTCAAACGGAATGACGGCATTGATTTGCATCACCCATTTTCAGGGATGATATTGATTGATTTTCAATTTCAGTGACCATTGGTGATAAAACCCTTTTTTCTAATACTAGTGATATTATTATTTTAATCTACCCTAGAGAAATGAGATGTTTTGAACTCAAAACGTAATGAGCTAAAAAAGAAAATCCTAACCAATAGGAAAAAAAACACTTACCTAATGTGTAATAGATTCAGTTTAATTCTATGTTTACAAATATAAAGATTCTAGTAAATATATTATAGGAAACTTTAATAAAAAATTTCCGATACTGTTAACTTTAATAAAAAACCACATTTTTACATTAAAAAGTTAATCCTGATACTATTCACTTTACCCTTTATTTTGTTCTTATCGTTAAAATTCAAAGTTATATTCTTTACGTAATTTTATATATTGCGTAACTACAGATATTCAGACTTGAGTTCATCGTCGAAAAACCATTACAACAAAACTAATATTCGTAATTTGACAACATAAAACTTTAAGTATGCATGGGATGTGGATAATAGGCATCCACATAATGTTTATCATGCCAAATAGTAGTATTGTCGGTCGTTGATTCTTTTTCAATGGTTGGTCTCACTTGACAACATATATACCAGCTCAGATGTAAGAGATCATTTTGTGATTAAACTATAATTTGTTGAGATTTGCAGACAGATAACTCCTCAGTAGTAATTACATGGATCCTGTACGAAAATTAACCTAAGAAAACAACTGATCTAATACTAATACAAGAGCCATTGCAAATCCAGAATCAAAGCCATGATGCACAATCAAATGAAAAACATCTACCCCATAAGAAACACCTCCAATATTTGCTTCCTTTTTCTTGATCTCAGCTACCACATTCCTCGACTCATCTGATACTTTGCATGATCTGTGCGTGTAAGAACCTTCAATCACATATGCATGTCTTTTGTGACCACATGTCTCGCGATACACATAAGCAAGTAGACTACTGGGATTGGTATTTATCATGTTCATGTTCTTCCTCACGTAAAACGTTGGCCTACTTTTTGATGCTGCAGTTGCTCTTTTTGTGCAACAACCGCCAGTTTCCCCTTCGTGCACAAACCAACCATCAACGAGACTAAGCTTCTGACAAACAAAAGTTATTAAACCGTCAAGATCAAACAAAGTTGGTTTTTTTATTTTTTTTATTTTTATTTTTAATTTTCTTTTATCATAAACTACATATTTGTTACTTTATGAGTTTATATAAGCTCGAAAAATATTCTCTTTTTTTTTTCCAGACTGTCTAGCAACATAAAATTCTGCATCTTATGTTGCAAGGCTCAATCTGAGTAATTGATCAAGTTGATTTAAGAGTTAGATTTAATATATACACACTAGATTGATCAAAGGTGAAAAATAACCAAAATGTGTTTTTAATGTTTTAATCTCAACTCTTGACGTCAAAGGGACTGTGAGTGTATACATATGATTATGATATACAAAATTGGTAATATATTTACCTTTCGGCGACGCATTGTGAGGACAGATTTTCCAGAGCCATCCATGAGAATGACTTCCTCAGGATGTCCGATGTAGTTGTCCACCCGATAAACGAGATCTCCGTTGGAATCGATGACCGTGAACCCTTTACAGCTAATTAGAAGGGATTTTCTCCACACTGTTAATGATGTGCAGGCCCCAGAAGTACAACTATCAGTGGCCTTGTATTCTTGGTGATCATGTTGTTCTTGATGATTATGGACAGACCTAGTCCTAGATAAAGATTTCAACAAAGGAACAATCTTCATGATTTCTCTCTCTCTCTCTCTCTCTCTCTCTCTCTCTCTCAGCTAATGGTACACCTTAAGCAGGTTAAGGAAGCAGATATTTATAGACAGCCTGAGAATGTTTGAGATATCGGTCTTACTAGTATTACAAAAATTCTGTGTGTTCGTACAGAAGAGCTGTGTGTATAGTTAATCACGCAATATTATATTTTATACATTCTGGGGGCGGGGAATTTTAAATGTATAATTGTATTGTATACATCTATTGCATGAAACTTAAAACTTTGTCGTGTCATATTGGTCGTCATAAGCATGATACGAGTGAGAATCTGGGTATTCCATTATATAAAATATATTGTGAAAGAGACAACTTGCCAGAAAAGTCATTGCTGGTTTCCTAGAGACACTTTGATGGGATTAAATCATATACTAATTGGTAATTAGCATAAACTATGTGTCTTGATTAGCATAAAAAAGGTGACACGTATATGTTTTCTTAGGTGGTCTCTGATCTTCCAACTTTTCGCTTCTTTTGATTGAAGAGTTAGGTTTGTGTTTATTTAATCGGACAATCATAAGCACGAGACAAGGAGGGGAACCATAAAAGTTATGGAAGAAGCAGCAGCTTGGAGGGAGGGGCGAAATCGTGAAACCCAAGAACATTGCTCAAGTTATCCCTGTGACCATTCATTCAAATTAGGGTGGTGTTGTCTACACACTTTCTTTTTTTATTTTTTACGCACCTTTAGTTGTCGGATCAAATAATTTAAAGAAAATCAAATGACATAAATAAAAACGAGCGTGTGGAAGGTAAAAAAGAAAGTCTATGGATAGCACCACCTTCAAAAACTATATACTAGCCAACAACATGAAAGTGATTTTCACAAACTCTTTTTTTCCTCAACACAATTCTATTTATTTTTTACTTTTAGATTGAGGAAATCAAATGAGAGAAATACATGACAAAAATAAACAGAGCATGTAAAGGAAAGTATAAGTGTCCAAAAATCATTTCATTGTATTAAATTTCCTTTCAGCGTATCCACCACTCAATGTGTCAAGTATATCACTTAGGTAACCTTTTTTTTTAAAGTAAATTTTGTAGATAAAGATTAAGCGAGATCAACTTTTCATCAACAGTGCCATAATAACAATACTTCCAAGTGCTCGTATTCTATAAGAGAATGCATTGTAGAAGTAACCATATAGTTTACTGCTTATCTGATGAATTTTGATCCAATTTACATTTTACTAATTGGGCCACGATAAGCTTTTTTTTTGGGGGGGGGCACATTTGATAAGAAAATGCATTGTAGAAATACTTTAGTTTATTGTTTAAGGCTCGTTTGATAATCATTTGTTTTGGTTTTTGATTTTTGATTTTAACATTTTGTGTTAGTGACAGAGCAGAAATACATTGGTCAAAAAAGGGTTGAAGAAGAATGGATGAAAGTGGTGGGATAGATGCAGAAGAAATGTACAAAGAAAAGAAACACAAAATAAAAACTAGAAGCAAAAAACTATTTTAAGTTGTTTTCACTTCCAAAATTTTATTTTCATTTATTCTTCTTTATTTTCTCCCTTAACCCTTCCTCAACCTTCATTTCCACATATATACTTTCCTTCTATCTCAACTCTCAAGCACATAAACTAATAACCAAAACCTAAAAACAAAAAAGTCATCATACGAGTCCTTAGTGCATTGCAAGTTTCGCCATGTTTTTTATTATTGACTTATATTGACCAAGTATCTATATCATGAATCACATGGAAAAGTCACAACATATGTATGTAAGAATTGCGTACACTAAGTTCCACAGAAATTTTTTTTATTTTATTTTTTTTAAGATTTGAAAACCAAATAATTTGCACATGCCATTAACGAACAAAATCTGTTCATTTTGTGCATGAGTAATGTGGTTCACTGTTTGTTAAGAAAACAATGTGGTTCACTGTTTATTTAATTCACAAAAAAGGTAGAATAAGGTGCAGAAAGTTCATGCTAACCTCTTATCAAAAAAGTAATTCAGAATGGATAATGCTATTCTCACGTCCATTTCTACCTCTCACACTTTTTGTTAATTTTTGTTTATTGATCTTCTTGAATTCATTCGCTCTGATAGCCGAAAATTGAGAGGGGTGTGTTAAAAGGTAAAATAGGTATGTGAATAGCACTATCCTTTAGAATATACTAGCCGGTACCAATTCGTAGATTATATATATGTAAAAGAGCATCTTCAATGGTGTAGACAATTGAGCAAGTAAACCCATTTTAGTTAGTCACATAGGCAAAAACTAGCTCTAATGGTATAGGCAATTGAGTTTGTAAATTTTGCCTACTCTCTTGAAGTAGGCAATGTTGCCTACAATACTATGAGTAAGCAAATGAAGTTCTCACATCTTTTTATAATAAAATATTCTATGTGAAGGAAGATGACAAAATTAAAGGATAAAAGTAGATGTTGCAGATGAAATAGAATAATAAATATAATTTTGTCTACATGGTTTGCCGAATCTATTGGAGTGACAAATTTTTTCATGAGACAATTAGGTGTGCAACGTATTATATCAGTCTTTATAATACAATTTTCCCTATTTTAATTGCTTGTGCCATTAGATGTGCTCTAATTTATAGCAAGAACAAAATGAATGCTGGAAAGTTGGAAACAGTTAAGAGAAAAGGATCTTCTCTGTTCAGCTTTAGGTAAGAAACTGTGTTAAAGTGAAAAGAACGTTGATTCAAAGTTCAAAGTTATGAGGTGAAATGTGGATCAATAATTCACCACCCCATCTCATAAGACAAATTAATAGAAACAATACGCGTAGTGCGCTTTGCCAGTCCGTCTGTTGAGTTTCATCAGAATCTGTAAAATATTGTAATATCATAGAATGTGTTTGAATAAGGAAAGGGATCCGGAGACTCCTAGAATATTAGGATATTGTAATATTGTAATATCGTAATATCGTGGACTGTGTTTGAATAATGATTTTGGTGATCATCACGCATATAACTACTGCAGCTGTACCATCGGTCATGTCAGAGTCAAACACGTCCTCATGGTAGTTATATACAAAGGAAAAGGATCCTGGCCAGATCCCTTTTCTAAGGATCCTAGGAATCTCGTGATCTTATCTGTTTATTGTATATCGTATGGTCAATTTTCATTAGGTACTATTCATATTTAATTTTAACTTTGAAATTTTACAATAATTTCTGATTGCACGATATACGATGAATATGTGAGATTACGAGATCCTCAGTATCCCTAGGAAAAGGTCCGGCGAGGATCCTTTTCCATATACAAAGACAAAAAAGGAAAGACAAACAGAAAGTTTAAAGAAAGATAAGGTTTCATCGGAAAATTATTTGATAATTTAGAGCTAGTTCAATTACATATAAGTGTATATATAAGGATTTTTTTTTTCTTCGAGGTGAAACTTATACTTTTAAGACACCATCTCATGTGTGGTGAATTTTTAAACCTAATACGTTCACAACATAAATCGGGTGACATAAAACACGTGTGACAATTGTGCTTCACACATAGAACAACTTGTTTTGATGCTATTGAAAAATTTAAAATTCTACCATAAAATCAATTAACAATATAAAAATAACTTAACTAATTTTTATAAGCACATGCACAATTTGTTGGATTCATCTCTCAACACTCTTAGTCTTACAGTCGACTATTTGTAATGCCTGATGACAACAAATGTGTGGGGCGAAATGCAGAACCCATCAATTGTCCAATTCCATATTTACATCCTTGGAACCTAGCCATTCGTTTGATAGTAATCAATATTAAAATTAATTGGATATGCCATAGTCTTTAAAATAAGATGAATATAAGAAAATTTTCTCTGCAATTAGAGATATATTTTATTGTGTCTACAACGTGAATATATCTCTGGTCACAATTTTTTTGACCAGTTGCGCTCAATCTTATTACTATATATGTTCTTATAATTGATGTCGTGACAACCATAACCATGCACATAGATTTTCGCAAGAGTAAATTTTATTCGGAGTTACACTGTAATTAGCGTAATTTATATCTTCAGTAATCTTTTTATAGTCTTATTGTAAGTAGATTTCTTATTCTTTTTCGTATTACTTTTATAGCACTACATATAATTTCCTGACACACAGAATACCCACTTGAACTCCGAATCGAGTTGTGTTGATCGACATCTGGAAGATGACGAAGCCATAAAGTGTAGTGCAGTGGAAAATGTGAATAAATTTAAACCTAAAAGTGCCTAAATATAAGAGTGCGTTGTGAGCGGGAATGAACCCATTTCACACGTGATGTTAGAGCATAAGTACAGTACAGTAGGATAGGGTGAGAATTATACTATCGAAGGTAATCATCTACACCAAGATTTGCCAAGAATCCTCGTCGATATGAAAGCTTAGCTACAAAAACCTGGAGGGGCGAAAAACAAGGGTGAGTGGGCCTAAAAATAAAGCTTTATAAAAACCTTTTGAAAACGTTACAACCCCTCGCTGTAAAATTAGTATAGTTTCCAAAATATACATACTACGTATAGTAAGAAAATACTCACTGTAGCCTGCAAAATCTCAAGAATTCATTACGGCACAATATCTTGTAAATAAGGGCATGACATCCAAAATCATAAAATCTCACATAAGCAACATATCATATCGGGTGCTCATCGACACATGTTGACACACGAGTTCATGGAGAGGTATTCTGACATGAACATGACTGGGTGTAATAATAGTATATGTTCTAGTACTACAATCATGTGAAAACTGGCGCTATGTGCAGCGCATACGAGTCGGAGTTGCCTATGGCAACCTGTTTGACATGACTGGCACCTATAATGGATCCAAAGTGAGCGTATGGTGCGAAGTGCACATACACGGGAAAGCCTGGCCCTGGCCTAGGCGAGTATTAACATCAGTGCATCAAACGATGAGCAGATAACATCAATATAGTCATGCCATACTAATTCCATAATTATACTCAACATAATAGTAACAAATAAGATATTACTCATGGTCGTAATCAAAACCCCATAAAAGTGCGCATACATGTGCATCTTGTATGATTTCTGATAATTTCAAAATTTTCTGTTATTTCGCT